TGGGCGATATGTCGCGTTGTCGCGATGTCGCGAGTCGCGTTTTGGTTTATTTTGCCTCACTTTACTTGTTTTTGACAACGCGACAATGCGACATAGCGACAATGTCCCTTCTAGGATTCCATAAGTATGAGATACCCCACAGTGAATGTACCGAGGCGGGATTCCTCGGGTTAGTTTACTTAGACATGTACTAGCAACATTACATGTTGAAGAAATATGGCTCTTTGTGACTCAAGTACCTCCTTGACTATTCTTCCAGCAACGAAGTCGGTCGAGTTATATTGTGGTTAGACCTACATTTGCCATGTGTTTAGACCTACATTTACCATGTGGTTAGACCTACATTTGCCATGTGGTTAGACCTACATTTACCATCTGTTTAGACCTACATTTTCCATGTGGTTAGACCTACATTTACCATGTGTTTAGACCCATGTGTTTACATGTGGTTAGACCTACATTTACCATGTGGTCAAACCTACATCTACCATGTGTTTAGACCTACATTTACAATGTGGTTAGACCTACATTTACCATGTGGTTAGACCTACATTTACCATGTGGTTAGACCTACATTTACCATGTGGTTAGACCTACATTTGCCATGTGTTTAGACCTACATTTACCATGTGGTTAGACCTACATTTGCCATGTGTTTAGACCTACATTTACCATGTGGTTAGACCTACATTTGCCATGTGGTTAGACCTACATTTACCATGTGGTTAGACCTACATTTGCCATGTGGTTAGACCTACATTAACCATGTGGTTAGACCTACATTAACCATGTGTTTAGACCTACATTTACCATGTGTTTAGACCTACATTTGCCATGTGTTTAGACCTACATTTACCATGTGTTTAGACCTACATTAACCATGCGTCTATACCTTCATTTACCATGCGTTTAGACCTACATTTACCATGTGTTTAGACCTACGACCATGCATGTTTAGACCTACATTAGCCATGTGGTTTAGACCTACATGTGTTTAGCCATGTGGTTAGACCTACATTAGCCATGTGTTTAGACCTACATTTGCCATGTGGTTAGACCTACATTTACCATGTGGTTAGACCTACATTAGCCATGTGTGGTTAGACCTACATTAGCCATGTGGTTAGACCTACATTTGCCATGTGTTTAGACCTACATTAGCCATGTGTTTAGACCTACATTAGCCATGTGGTTAGACCTACATTAGCCATGTGTTTAGATTAACATTTGTTTACCACAACAACATCTTTGGACCTACATTTACCATGTGTTTAGACCTACATTTACCATGTGTTTAGACCTACATTTACCATGTGTTTAGACCTACATTTACCATGTGGTTAGACCTACATTTACCATGTGTTTAGACCTACATTTACCATGTGTTTAGACCTACATTTACCATGTGTTTAGACCTACATTTGCCATGTGTTTAGACCTACATTTACCATGTGTTTAGACCTACATTTGCCAATGTGTTTAGACCTACATTTACCATGTGTTTAGACCTACATTTGCCATGTGGTTAGACCTACATGTGTTTAGACCTACATTTACCATGTGTTTAGACCTACATTTGCCATGTGTTTAGACCTACATTTACCATGTGTTTAGACCTACATTTTTAGACTACATTGTGCGTTTAGACCTACATTTACCATGTGTTTAGACCTACATTTACCATGTAAGACCTACATTTAGACCTACATTTACCATGTGTTTAGACCTACATTAGCCATGTGTTTACCTACATGCCATGTGTTTAGACCTACATTAGCCATGTGGTTAGACCTACATTTGCCATGTGTTTAGACCTACATTTAGACCATGCGATTTTTTGTGCGTTTAGACCTACATTTGCCATGTGGTTAGACCTACAGCCATTTAGACCTACATTAGCCATGTGTTTAGACCTACATTAGCCATGTGTTTAGACCTACATTAGCCATGTGTTTAGACCTACATTTACCATGTGTTTAGACCTACATTTACCATGTGTTTAGACCTACATTTACCATGTGTTTAGACCTACATTTACCATGTGTTTAGACCATTACATGTGTTTAGACCTACATTTACTTTTGTTTAGACCTACATTTACCATGTGTTTAGACCTACATTTACCATGTGTTTAGACCTACTTTTGCCATGTGTTTAGATCTACATTTACAATGCGTTTAGACGTAAATTTACCGCGTGTTTAGACCTACATTTCCCATGTGTTTATACCTACATTTACCATGCGTTTAGACCTACATTTACTGTCTAGACTTATATTTGCCTCGTGTTTAGTCTTACGTTTACCATGTGTTTAAGCCTATAGCTGTCATGTGTTTAGACGTACATTTGGCATGTTTTTAGACCCACATCTACCTTGTGTTTAAGCCTACATTTACCATACCTAGGAAACATACAACGCTAACTGGGACATAGTCCCTCAAACAATACTGACTAGGACATAGTCCCTCAAACAACACTGACTAGGGTTATAATCCCTCAAATAATACTGACTAGGACATAGTCCCTCAAACAATACTGACTAGGGTTATAATCCCTCAAACAACACTGACTAGGGTTATAATCCCTCAAACAATACTGACTAGGACATAGTCCCTCAAACAATACTGACTAGGGTTATAACTGACTAGGGTTATAATCCCTCAAACAACACTGACTAGGGTTATAATCCCTCAAACAACACTGACTAGGGTTATAATCCCTCAAACAATACTGACTAGGACATAGTCCCTCAAACAATACTGACTAGGGTTATAATCCCTCAAACAATACTGACTAGGGTTATAGTCCCTCAAACAACACTGACTGGGGTTATAATCCCTCAAACAATACTGACTAGGACATAGTCCCTCAAACAATACTGACTAGGGTTATAATCCCTCAAACAATACTGACTAGGACATAGTCCCTCAAACATACTGACTGACTCAGGGTTATAGTCCCTCAAACAATAATACTGACTAGGGTTATAATCCCTCAAACAACACTGACTAGGGTTATAATCCCTCAAAAAATACTGACTAGGACATAGTCCCTCAAACAATACTGACTAGGGTTATAATCCCTCAAACAACACTGACTAGGGTTATAATCCCTCAAACAATACTGACTAGGACATAGTCCCTCAAAGAATACTGACTAGGGTTATAATCCCTCAAACAATACTGACTAGGGTTATAGTCCCTCAAACAACACTGATGGGGTTATAATCCCTCAAACAATACTGACTAGGCCATAGTCCCTCAAACAACACTGACTAGGGTTATAATCCCTCAAACAATACTGACTAGGCCATAGTCCCTCAAACAACACTGACCAGGGTTATAATCCCTCAAACAATACTGACTAAGACATAGTCCCTCAAACAATACTGACTAGGAGATAGTCCCTCAAACAGTACTGACTAGGACATACTCCCTCAAACAATACTGACTAGGGTTATAATCCCTCAACCAATGCTGACTAGGGTTATAAGCCCTCAAACAAAACTGACTAGGACATAGTCCCTCAAACAATACTGACTAGGGGTATAATCCCTCAAACAATACTGACTAGGACATAGTCCCTGACTACAAATACTGACTAGGGTATAATCCCTCAACCAATACTGACTAGGGTTATAACTCAAACTACTGACTAGGACATAGTCCCTCAAACAATACTGACTAGGACATAGTCCCTCAAACAATACTGACTAGGGTCATAATCCCTATACTGACTAAGACATAGTCCCTCCCTCAAACAATACTGACTAGGACATAGTCCCTCAACCAATACTGACTAGGACATAATCCCTCTAACAGTACTGACTAGGACATAGTCCCTCAAACAATACTGACTACGGTTATAATCCCTCAAACAATACTGACTAGGGTTATAAGCCCTCAAACAACACTGACCAGGAGATAGCCCCAAAATGCCACTGAGCAAGTAACGATCCTTAAACCTAAACAGCCAATCAAACGATATAAGTCCATCATACGATACTAAATGCAATCCTGATCCATAATAGGATTTAGTAAGGCATATACATATTTAATACCTCAAGTAGTACTCAGTAGAAACAGTCCCTGAAACAATTACAGTATTATACAATATAGTAGGAAACACGCCTCTGACAGAAACAGATCGAAACTTACGCTGACGTGTTGTGGTGGGTAAATTGATGTGTAATGTCTGTATTTATTACCTACGAGGGCGAAAATACAGGTATCGGGGTTCATATTCTTCATACAAGGCCCTATTAGGGCACAATATCACTTTGTCATGGTGACGTGACGTCATGAACAATGCTTTGACGTCACGTTTCTTCTGTGAAGCTGCGTTCTACATTCGGCAACATAGCCAGCCTATGTTTGAAAGTAGATTTGGGTTTATTTTTCCTGTTTGACGACTTCGCTAATATACAGAATATCATATTCGTGCCCATATCATACCATCTTGCTGGGGAAATACCAACGTCTCGTCTCGTAAACATAGTATGACATGGACCCTCATATAATATCCTCTATTTACTATGACTGGGTCCATACAATACCACTGTAAGCATGTATATAATAACGGATATTGAATTACCGGAGCGGTATTCAGATAAGCAACATACTGCTTGTTTACCAATCCGGTTCCTGTTTTGGAAATAAATATGTTTAAACCAATTAAACATTTCATGTCTTTAATATTTATATCCATCTGGAGATATGATGTTTGTTATTAATGATCTGTGACAACATGGCGGTATGGGATTTGGTCTTCAACTATCCATGTTTCTTTACCTATCCATGTTTGTCGTCAATTGCGTCTAACAGGGTCGCGCTGACGTGGTTCATGCATGTCATCGTATCTCAAGCACGTAGATCGATGTTCATGATGTCAATCACAGGATTGTCTGATCCAGGTTCGATAAGTCGCCGCAATGTAGCTGGAATACTGCTGAGTGAGACAAACAGGCCGTTCACAGTGTGACAAAACATAACGTGTACATGTTGAACATCAAGGCATTTATTAACAAAAATATACACAAAACATTAACATCGCCATTTTAGGCCATCATCGTACAACAAAACAGATTTAATAGTGGTTCACTTGTTATATGTTAGCTGTGAACATAAATATATATTTATTTTCATTTCCCATAATATTGATATGTACAAAAATTGTACAAAAATTGCTGTGCCTGGAAACCCGTAGAGGTGGTCGAACCATTCAATTATACTTCGATCACGAGTTTATGAGTAAATCTCAAGTTTCTGTCCATATGGTATAACACATCACAGTATTTCAGTCTTGTGAACCAAACACCGGTCAGGCATTGCCCTCCAGTTACTTGCACTTGTCGTGGACGACCGCGGCTCCCTTCTCTTTGTAGTCGGCCGCCTTGACCCACATGGACTGGAAGTCGTCCAGGGCGGCCAGGGTGCTCCCTCCCAGCCAGGCTGCATGTTCCCTGTGTTCCCCAGCCACAACTGTGGCACTTGCAGCACGAGACTTCACCTCCTTCTTCAGACGTTCCACGAACCCACTGGCAAGAGTAGGGCCTCCCGCGACTATAATATTGCCATACATCAACTTCTGTTGCTCGGCAGAGCACTTCCCAATGGCTTCCTCCAAGAGGGCGACTACCCCACCAGATGGCAGACCTGCCACTGAAGGCGTGAAGAGGACCTCTGATGTCTTGAACATCTCGCTACCAAGAGTCACGGCTGTCTCATCTGGTAGCTTGAATATCTTCTGGAAGTCTGGATCTGATGCTTTGGCCGTCTCCAGATCATAGTTTTTGGCCACGTAGCACATACTCTCTTTGATCTGCCGCACCGCCTCTGGAACACTGGCCAAATTGTAGCCCTTCTCAGACAGCTGTTTGCAGAGGAACTCATTCTGTCCACTTCCACCAAACGCCCACCGTGTAACAGCCTTGGGCAGCAGGAAGCCCTCATGCGAGGGGGCGGCATGGATGACTCCATCTCCAACCTCCAACACCACACCCGACAACCTCCCCGTGGCATACATACTGAGAACTCCACTGTTGGCCACGAACAGCCCAGGGACCTTGAACTTCTCAAACATAATCTGCGTTATTTTCTCCTTGTCCTGGGGGTCTAGGGAAGGCGGTGCAATGAGCAGCACGTTGTGTTCCTGAGGGTTGAGACCCAGCTTGTCCACCAGAACATCCCTCCAGATAGCCGTTACATCCTCCCAGTTCCGGATCTGTCCCTCACGGACTGGCTCACTCAGCACCACACCCTCACGGCTGGTCCTCGCTGCTGCTCCAATATACGTCTCGTTCGACTTCTGAAATGGCAAAAGAAATAAAAGTGTTCATCTTCAATCAAGTATATTCTGTATTGATGCGGCCCCTTGTAGAGCAACACATAAACACGGAAACACGCGTCCGTAGTTCATTCATCACAATATCATGAAAATCATTTACAAAACAAAATGCTTTTTCAAATATATTTTCCTGTATAATTGTGCATGCGCACCACGTGTCAATATCTGCTATGTGTCAATTAATGTTCTGTAATTCGCAACGACCAGTACAGCGAGTGTCTGTCTCAACATGCGGTGCAGTGGAGCCTTGAGACGAAGCGGTCCAGTCATCCGACCTGGATTCAATGCACAACCTGGATTCCAAGGCTGTGCAGTCAGCGTCTTCGTGGTACAGAATTAAATCATGAAGCGCCGTACAATCCCTGCATAGCCCTCTCTGCACAAGGAACTTGTCTCAAAAGAGGCGTGCAAACTGTTTTGTCTTTGGCCAACATTGACAGTCATGTGTCAAGCACGTGTTGGCAAACGCCAGTAGTGGTTGTCTATGTACACATATAATTGCACAATACAATAAAAATGTCTGATTTCAAACATATAGTTGTACGTCCAATAAGCTAACTGTGGCTGAAGGGGTCGTTTCTGTACACAGATATGTACCCTAAACAAAGTCAAAACGTACCCGGTACCCTAAAAGGCGGACGAATCCATATTCCGCAATCCAGAACCGAAACCGTATGTAGTGCTGAAAGGGTCGTTGTCTGCACGGGTACTACAGATGTGTACCCCAGGTACGTTTCTGTATACAGAAATGCACCCTGGCCATAATCAGAATACAGAAATGTACCCTAGGACGATTCCATTCTGCATTGTGTCGTTTTCTTGATTGGAACTGTCATACTGTTGTATTAGATGCATTTGATTGCGTTATATAAGAGCATACACAGTATAACGAATATTTCACGGTGCACAACGTACACCACTCGCAATCAGCTGAACGGGGATAACTACATACGGTTTCGGTATTGGGTCGCGGAATATGGACTCGTCCGTCGTTTAGGGTACAGGGTACGTTTCTGTAGTTTGACTTTGTTAGGGTACATGTCTGTATACAGAAACGTACCTGGGGTACATATATGTAGTACCTGTGCCGACAACGACCCCTTCAGCGTATGTAGTTGTTCCCGTTCAACTGATTCCGAGTGGTATTCATGTACATCGCGAAATATCCGTTACTGTGTATTCTCATTACTTACATAACGCAATCAAATGTATCTCATACAACAGTATGACAGCTCCGGTCAAGAATACGACACAATGGGAATGGAATCGTCCTAGGGTACGTTTCTGTCTGTATACAGAAATGTACCTGGGGTACATATCTGTAGTACCCGTGCCGACAACGACCCCTTCAGCCTAACTGTGTGGACAGTATTCGAGAATGCTCGGTTCTGCAGCTCACACAGAAACGGGTGTTACGGCGGGATGTTGTTATCGATGACACTGTGACCAAAGTCTACAGAACCCTCCACCACACGGGAAGTGGACTTCGGATCATACTCGATCATACTTACATGAAAACATTAACTATACAATGGGGTAAAGGGATGTCGATATGAATGTCGCCCTTTGTCCTGAGTAGTGCATCGCGGCAGTGAGAAGGGGTGGGAGGGAGGGGAAGGGTGGGTGGTTTAACGCGTGGTCCCCACTGGAATGTCTGTCACGACAGAACTGATTCCCAGCTGTTGGCGGTATTCCCTGAGGGAAACAAAGACCCACGCTACAGACCCCATCTCATTGCGCTCGAGCCCCCGCTCTACTCCCTATCTCCCCACCCCGTCCCCGTCCCGTCACACTGTTTTCACCCGAAGCCTCCCTGAACACCAAGCGACGCTAACCGCCAGGAATGACAAGAGTAGAACTCAAAGAGTGTATGTGGGTTTTATATTATCAGAGAGCATTTTTTCTATATCCATTACACATGCACGAAATGGCCATTGAACCTGCCTCTACACAGATGACAATGACAGGGGGTGTTTGATGGGTATCTGCATAACGACCACCCCACCCCCGCCCTACCGACCCCACGTACGCACGCCACCCTCGCACGGATGTACATTATGTGGCAACAAGGGTTATGCGCTCCGTCAAACAGAATTCCCTATCTTCAGCAGTTAATCTCCCAAGTATGTATCTTCCAGTGATAGCATGACTTCCAGTTGGAACAATACACTGGCACGGGGACAGGTACACAATATAACTACCCACAAGAACAGTTTACTCTTAATGTATCAGTTTATACTTTCACCCTTATATAAAGACAATTCATCGAGTGAGAAACGTGCGACATGCTACAACTTGAGATTCAGGTTCTTTCAACTGGGTCAGATATCTATTTCAAAGATCATCCATCAACTTTTGCAGTCATTGAAACAAACCAACGAATAGTCCCAATATCGCATTGCGCATCCGCTCTGCCAACTTAAAACAGTATAGACAGTGCTCTTTAACAGCACAAAGAGCCCAGTCTGTTGATATGAGCCATGCTGGTCTCACAAGGGGAAGGGTGGGGGAGGGTCATGTGGGCGACGCCTGTAATGCTAGCCGAGACGGGGCCGGGGGGAGAGAGAAGGGATGGGTAGCTGCACATGGGACGCGCGCGTGCACATTTGATACAGCCTTCTCACGCTGCCGGGTTATATTTAGCATCCCGGACCCCTCCTCCCTTCTCCGATCCGACCAAACCAGGAAGTGAGGAGATCGTGAACGCTCTCCACATAGCAGAGTAGCGAGAGAAGCCATTCACTGGTGCGGGGCCTCTCGGCGAGGTGGGGAGATATCTGTCGATATCACAGAAGCTACACGCCATTAAATGCGTGGCTTGATCACGTGCGACCAGCTCCCTCCCATCGTGTAAGTTATTACCGAGAGGTACATATTGATCACACGGTAGCTAGAGTTCTAAACGTTACATGTACATTGTACAGTATGTTCACTACCTAGTTACATGATAGAGAGAAAGTGTGAGCATTACCTCTCCCACCCCTCGTCCCACTAGGGTAGGCTGGATAACCCGGGGGGCCGTGTCGCCAGCCAGACCGGCTCGGGTCTGGTAGGAGCCCGTCTCAATGATCACATGAGGCTTCGGCATGTTGATAAATTCTGCAGTTGTGGGTCACTGTCGAAAATTTGTGTATAAAGAAACTCTGGGCGATGTCGCTTTTATAGACGTTGCCTGCAAATGGAAATAATTGTTGTGTGTTTATATGACCATATGTAGACTATGTGAACACGTAATCTGAGATCTCCATAAATGGACACGCGCTGCCTTATATGGAGGTAAACGTACACCAGCTTCGACGCCGGATCATTATCGAGATCAGTGCTGGTGCTGCAAATGTGTTAAGTTATAAGCGTATATTACTCATGCTAGGCGACCTCTGACCCGGACTGACACACTCACCCTGTTCAACCTGGTATCCGTCTCACATGTATTCTCTGATATACCGCTACCCTCCAGTGCACACCCGCACATCCGTATAGTACACAGTTAACTAGGTCGGAGAACCGGGTGTTGCTGGTCCCGATACTTCACCGTTTCTCACCTCATTACAAGTCTTACGTTTTAGTAAATGCAGTACTGTAGCTGCCATTCGGTGTTTAGCCCTGGGGATATTACAGGGGCACGGTCGAGTGAGAATGTCAGTGCCGACAGTGCCAGCAAATACCGACTGAACGCACGAAAACAAACATGAGTCAGCTATTTTAAAGTGAAAGAAGGGAAATCCCTGTGTTATGCCAGAACGAGGCTTGGGATATCCATGTCTTGCCAGAACAAGACTAGTGTGATTCCCCGTGTCTGTGTTCAGTAAAACTGACCACGTACAGATCTGCGGACCACATGCATGTTCACATTTCATGGACTATTTACAAAAAATCATTGAAAAAGGAATACAACGTTTCCTAAATAACACCTTACACGTTAACCACACTTATACATAATGCGTTTCATGTCCAGATTAGTCAGGACCCCTTTATACCGGACACCTTTAGCACATGTAGTGTGTATTAGCGATATCTCCCTTTTAGGATACAGTTTAGCTATACCATATGATACACTCAGCTCTGTGGTATGTCGGGGTATTTACACCCAAAGTTGAGGGGCGGGGGTGGGGGTGTAAGGATACACTTTGCTCCCTGGTATGCCAGGGTATTGTGCACCCGGAGTTGGGGGGTTATGAAACACTTTGCCCCCTGGTATGTCAGGGTATTGTGCACCCGGGGTTGGGGGGTTATGAAACACTTTGCCCCCTGGTATGTCAGGGTATTGTGCACCCGGGGGTGGAGGAAGGGGTTAGGATACACCTTGCCCCCTGGTATGTCAGGGTAATGTGCTCCCGTGGAGCCTAGGACATATATCCCATCGAAATTGAAACTATAACCCACCCATCTGGACGGAAACGAACTCAGTGTGAAGCTGACTAATAACTAAACGTTTATTAAGTACAGTATAAACCCACCAGGCAGTACAATGGCAGTTCACAACAGAATCGAAGTACAAAACTGAAAGGCAGTATATAGATCTGCAACGGCAGTAAACAATATACCAGCAATAGTGGTAACAATAACATCATTAATAATGTTAAGACATTGGCTTAGTCTGATATCCAGGGTGAAAACAATGCTATATAACCACATGTGTTGTAAGATGGTACGGATATGTTAGAATGAGTTAATGAATGTAGGCAAGCTGCGATACATGGCTGTGATGAGGTGCTGTTGGTAGTTGAGTAATGATATCAGCTGATAACATTCCCGAGAAGACCACGTGGCCACGGCATAATGTTAGGTTATGTTCCGACAGACAGGAATTTTGAAATATATCATATGATTATGAATATAGATAATTGGTAGTCTGCCATAAGAGTGCTGAATGCTATTTTCTGACTGACCATCATCAGTATCTGATTCCTTTCGATAACTTGATATAAATATGCCTTTTTCACTCAAAAACTGTTTAATATCGATCTGCCGATCTGTATTGATGCATATGACAATGACTGCTGATAAACCATTAGAACTGTGCACACTTGATGTCAGAACAACACCTAATAAAACATGGAGGAATCTGCTTGGGACACAATTACATCTGCTTGAGAACACACACAGTTACATTGAGCAGACACTAACAGATACACAGGCCACACAAGCATAGGTCACACCAATGAGTAATTCGCTCTCGTGTGTTCCGCAGCTGAAGGCTTATTCCGTTGTCAGCTTGTGACAGAAGGGTCATTTCAACCTGTTGTTTTCAATTTTTTTTATTAAGGCCTTGGATTTTGTAATCTGATTCAAACACTATCTCCGGATGGAGCTCTTTGACATCTTGGTAAAACATTCTCGATTTTACCTCACATTTTGTGAAAAGTGTGCACGAGAGGCTTTTTGACATAGGGACGAAGTTGAAATCATCACTTTTGTCATACAATATTGTTGGGAAAGTCTAAATCTGAAACAGATGAAGAGCTGTCAATGGTATCCTTTATTTGTGTTCATGTTGGTCAATCAGTGGAAGTGAATTCATCTGTTTCATGACTGTTGAACGATATCAGATCATCATTATTAATTAAGTTCGACGTCTAGGCCAAGTTACCCTGTTTTACCATTGTCAGTTCGAACAGAAATTCCTATTCCTAAAGAAACAGATCAGTAATAAGGAAAAGAAACTGTATGCCCGTGGGGAGCCTATATTCCTTGTCAGAACGTTTGACCCCCCATTCAATTTCCTTAGCAACACAAACACCGAAGAGAGTGCTGAATCACTATCAACTATAATGTACGCCGATTTGTGTGCTATTGTATTAATGACGATATTTTCTTCTATAATGTTTTCTTTGAAGATATTTCAAGAGCGTTTGATATTTTATAGGTGTTGTCCGGTAAGATATTAGTAATCGACATCTAAAACATAATCCGAAATATCAACTCACATTACTATGCACTCAACAGACCTTCTTCCTTATAAGGAGTACAGTGATCAGTTATTGAACTGACTCACTTGTATGTACAAAGTCATCTTTTACACAACACAGCAATATAATACTGTATATGGCCTAGGGTTTCAACCTATATTCACGTTATCTGGTTTATTAATACGATCGTTCACGGTACGCCGCATGCAGCCATGAGTAAACAGCTAGATTAGCACAAGACGGACCTTCTGCGACAGACTGCCCTGCGCAGTAGCGGCCCAGCTGATTAGGGGTAGGGTCCGGGTGCACCCCAGTAACTACACGTTGCCTATCGGGGACTGCGAGATTGGCCATATATAGGCATGTCCCACAAAAGTCGGTTAACTCCAGTCTGTGTCAAGACCATATACGGAGTTTTATAGCACGGGAGATAACGGGGTGAGTATATAGGCAGAGCGAATTGAGACGGTCGTCACAGTGTAACTGCTTTCCAGATTCGACAGTTCAAATCTCACTTCTCTCTGTAGTCTAAACCTCGACAACCATGGATGATGATGTTGCTGCATTGGTTATTGACAACGGCTCCGGCATGTGCAAGGCCGGTTTCGCCGGTGACGACGCTCCCCGAGCTGTTTTCCCCTCCATTGTCGGGCGTCCAAGACATCAGGTAACATTTGTCCTCTGTTGACGTAGAAACTGTGTACTACGGTGCGCGGCTCCAATAGAGAGTAGAGGAGATAGAATAACCATCTTGTTTATGTGTCATATGTACTCACGTTGGACCACGACAGTATGTTCTTATAATTGGTGGTGTAATATTTGTATGTATGTATGAGAAGGTTATGCATCCCACACTATAAAGTTTACTGTACTACAATGAAACCTCGGAGTTCGGACTGCGTCAATTCGGCAATGTTACCTTCCGGGAAAGGTCGAAAGGTCGAATGACTTGTATACACATGAGACAACAGCCTTAATGATTTGATAATGAGTAACCGCGTCAATCATGACGAAATCTCGGGGCACGCCACCTTCAGGATAAACGGGGTGTCATTGTTTTAAGACATTACTGAAACCTTTCTCTCTGATTTCAGTTTGAACGAAAACTGTACTATGTGATTTAAATATAGAATGTTCCATTTCTGTCATGTCTATTGCCAGTATAAAAAATATATCACGCACAATGACGTAACTGATTTTGTGTTTCAGGGCGTGATGGTTGGTATGGGACAGAAAGACAGCTATGTTGGAGATGAGGCTCAGTCCAAGAGAGGTATCCTCACACTCAAGTACCCCATCGAGCACGGTATCGTCACCAACTGGGACGACATGGAGAAGATCTGGCATCACACCTTCTACAACGAGCTCCGTGTTGCACCTGAGGAGCACCCCGTCCTTCTGACAGAAGCTCCCCTTAACCCTAAGGCCAACCGTGAAAAGATGACCCAGATCATGTTCGAGACCTTCAACTCTCCAGCTATGTATGTGGCCATCCAGGCTGTTCTGTCTCTGTACGCCTCTGGTCGTACCACGGGTATTGTTTTGGACTCTGGTGATGGTGTCACCCACACTGTACCCATCTATGAAGGTTACGCCCTTCCCCACGCCATCATGAGGTTGGATCTTGCCGGTCGTGACCTGACTGATTACCTCATGAAGATCCTCACTGAGCGTGGTTACTCCTTCACCACCACCGCTGAGAGAGAAATCGTCAGAGACATCAAAGAGAAATTGTCCTATGTCGCCCTTGACTTCGAGCAGGAGATGGCTACTGCTTCATCTTCTTCCTCCCTGGAGAAGAGCTACGAGTTGCCCGACGGTCAAGTCATCACCATTGGTAACGAGAGGTTTCGTTGCCCAGAGGCCCTCTTCCAGCCATCCTTCTTGGGTATGGAATCTGCTGGTATCCACGAGACAACATACAACTCCATCATGAAGTGCGATGTTGATATCCGTAAGGACTTGTACGCCAACACTGTTCTCTCAGGGGGTTCTACCATGTTCCCTGGTATCGCCGACAGAATGCAGAAGGAGATCACATCCCTTGCCCCAAGCACAATGAAGATCAAGATCATCGCTCCCCCAGAGAGGAAATACTCCGTCTGGATCGGTGGCTCCATCCTTGCCTCACTGTCCACCTTCCAGCAGATGTGGATCAGCAAGCAGGAGTACGATGAGTCCGGCCCATCCATTGTGCACAGGAAGTGTTTCTGAGCATGCGGGTCACCCTTTCCTAACAGGAATCTCAAATCCAAGACAGTCTGTGTGGCAACTGAAACAATTTGATGACAATGAAGATGTCACTCACGATGTCAAGATGAAATTGGCGATGACACTTGTGATGATGGCACACAAGGCCAACTCCTTTGTACATATCTGTGATGAAACGAAAGACTATCGTCTATACGGACAATACCACATGTGAGTGCAATACGTTACATACGCTCAGATGCACACATGTGTCAGAACTGATGATGAAACAGTGGTATTGTATGTTGCAATGTTTGAGGAATTGATCATGTATTAAGTTATGCTCATCTTTGTGGGTGAAAATGTTGATTTATGACGGTGTTCTGATATTCTTATACATGCAATCGGCTTGAAGAATAAACAAAGGACATTGATGGTATTCATTTATGTTTGTACTATTTTTAACGCCGCCCTTGGCAATATTTCAGCTGTCAATCATCTGTGAAGCTGACCATTGGGGAACAGACTCTCCAGTGATTCACATCATGAGCATCAATATTTGTGACAGGCAAAAAACACGAACTTCTT